CAAAAAAGCTTCTGTGAATCCCGCTTTACCTTCTAGTTCCAGTAAGTTTTGTAGTATTCAACAAATGGAAAATGTTTTCAGTCTAGCAGTGCTCTGAATGCCTTGTCCATTTGCAGTTACTTACATAATTATTTCTCCGTAATGCACTTATCTAGAAAACTTCTTCGTTCACATGAAATGCTTTTCTTACATAAATTATTTCGAAGTTGCTGCAAGCTACATTCTGACGAGCTGAATTCTGAGCAGGCGCACTTCAGAGCTGTACGCATAATTTTACCAACAGATCTTCTAGATTATTAAATCTTCTGTTACCGTGCTCTGTAAAATAATGATGTTCGCATGCGCGGTACAATACTATTGTCCCGCTATTATTATTGCGCTACTATTGTTGCGCTTCTATTGTGGCGCTTCTATTGTCCCGCTTCTATTGCCCCGCTTCTAGAAGCGATTATAAGCGCTTGATTCTCTTCATTCCAATCATCCTTCAACCACTCCAGCTAAGCCTTCCAGGTTCCTGGTAATATAAGCTTGGATCCATTGTAAATATGTGTTCTCTGAACTTGTGTGATCTCTGGCTCGAGTAAAGTCGGGATTACAACAGTAACCATAGCAGCAGCAGCAGTAACCATATCAGCGGCAGCAGCAGTAACCATAGCAGCAGCAGCAGCAGCGGCAGCAGCAGCAGCAGTGATTATGGTTGAAGTAGCAGCCCAACACTGTAGGACCGGCGGAAGTAGTTTTTGAATGGTCTGGTCATACTGTAATCTTTCATTCTTGTCGGGGAGGTGTCCCCCGGGGAAGAAAATCGGATTTTTCGGCCAATATTTAAGCGCTCTGCGGACGCTCTGGGTGGACCATCCTGGATGAAAAGTGATACGACCATGGCCGTACTGGCTGCACCGTGTGTGACGCCCCTGCACGTTTAAGCAAGAGATGCTGAGGACTTTAAAACTACTCCAGGAACACACCGCCACAGGGGCACTGGGTGCACGTGCACCCCTCCTCCCCCCCCCCCCCCTAAAAATTTCGACCTAGGTTCAGCATGCACGTTATGACCATGAATGACATGCACCAGCCATCCTACACATGCATTGAATGCGGCCATGCACCCCTTTAAAAGGGGGACCAGCCACGCTCCCGCACCAACTGAGTGTGCATGCAAAGCACTCAAGTGCACGTCTGTGCTGCCCGATACTTTGGTCAGGCGTCAGGGGATTTTTGATCGCGGTCTACTAATAATTTTGTCTTGTAATCGATGTCGTACTAACCAAGGCAGACCTGTATTGTGAATGCGCCTCTAGTGGAGCGAGTGGTCAATGCAGGTTTTACTGTACGTACCGGCAGTGGAGACTCCGGTTGTCGTCCGGTTTGCTTCGGTGGGAGCGTTCTGGCAGGCTGTCATCAATGCAAGATCGCTTGCTGGTGAGCAGTTGAACGCCGGCGTGTTGGTGGTCACGGAGCACGTCACGGCGATTGGCACACCGGCCGGTGACACCGACGCGTTTATCGGCGCCACGTACGTCTTCGTGAAGACGCCGCCCGTCTGGTTGCTATGGGTGACCACGGCAGCTAGCGGGGCGCCGCTGGAACCGGCAATCGTCATGGTTACGGTGGGCTCGGGAAAGCCGGTCACGGTGCACATGGCCTGTTCAGTGCCCGCGGTGTGCAGCGCTGACACAATGGCAAGCGAGGCGATCACCGGTGGCACTGTATGAAACAATGGACAACAGGAGAGAATACCGTCACATGATGTCTCCGATTACCGTAGTGCCTTGTATTAAAGCCCGTCTCATAATAGAAGCCTTTATACCTGTTTTGAATACAAGTCTGATTTTCAAGATACACTGTCGGCACATAAGCCTGATTTTAGTGTTGATATACATAGAAATGCCTGGTTTGAATAGAAGCCTAGCCCTGACATCGGCTTCTACAGGAATACGCCCGGTTTTGATACGCGACATTACGGTGTATAAGTCACACTCGATTATAAGCTGCACCCACACTTTCTGGTTTGAGCCATATTTTTTTTGATATATTCACTTCAGTAGTAAATCAGGGATGAATTTATTGTCATATTTTTGCATAGCAGTTTCTGCTATGCAAATGCACAATTGTATAGCAGTCTTTGATTTTCATTAGCAATTTCCTTTGAAGGTTGGGTGCTTACCACATTGTCCTTCGTGAGAGTGATGCCTGAAAGCCCATTTGCAAAAAACCCGACTGAATGATACATGTGCACGCAGATTGAGAGTGCCTGCACCACATACACTGCAGTGTATGCATGTTGCTTGACAGCGCAGTCTAGGCATGGATAGTCTGTATGTATCGCAGTTGTCATGCGTGTCACGGTGACTTTTGAGTAGCAGTAGATCGATTTTGTATCGCAAACTGCGATGCGATACAGGATAAAATCATCCCTGTAAGTCATGCTGGATTCGATTGTAAGTCGCACCCCCTTTTTTGCCTTCGACTTTTAGTGTAAAAAGGTGCGACATATATTGAAGGATATACAGTACATTGTTTAGGGCTGAGTCGGGTAGCATTTTCTTCGGGTATCGGGTCCGGGTAGTTTTCCACGGGTAGCACGGGTACCCGATCGGGTAATGTTTCCATGGTAAGACCACAATGCACACCGGCCCCTTCCCTTACACACTGGGTAGACATGCGTGAGTTATTTGTACACGTGCACTGTAGACCTCTCTCTCTCTCTCTAGCTCTACTCTTTCTACATGATGTCATCTGCGACTTCGGGTTTTCAGGTACGATTCGGTACCCGTCTACCCGAGGTCCTCACGGGTAGCACGGGTACCCGGCTACCCGTGCACACCACTAATTTGTTTTGCAGAATGTTACAGTAGTGTTGTGGCTTCCATGTACATATGTGTAAGGTGCGGTGTCATTACATCATATTCCTAGTTACTGTTGCTATGCAGGCTTCCGTTGTTCCCACGGTGCACGCATCTTTTGACCTGCCCTTGGCGAAGATCTGTCATGTGATCAGATCATGATCAGTTAGCAAATCTGCAGGGTCTCTGGTGCGTCACCACTCCGACTTGTACCCGGGATGTACTCGTCTCTTTTTAACATGATGTCACCATCTTCCTATCTTTCTCTATGGCGCCACCGCTAGGCGTTCCCTACTTAGTAAATCTGCGGTGCAAAATAAATAAACGTGCGTTGAAAATTATTTTTCGTAAATCCTCACTATTCCTCTCTACTGATCTACACTGTATAGATATTAGATATGTAGCCTGGCCACTACCAGCCCAATCTCTTTCCTTTCTCAGAGAGTTGGCGACAGAGACAGTCATTTTTCATTTCATTTTATTAAATTTTATTGATTTCCAAAGGCAAATACCTGGTAGGTGTCTATCACGGGAATCTCAAATACATGTGACTGTCCGCATTAAATAATGCAAAAATGTTGGAGGATAGTTCTAAAAGAGGGAAAGACGTTTTAGAACCGTGAATGCTTAATTAAACTGAACATTGTCCCTGAACATCTCAACGAATGTAACTGGTTTACCTTCGCACGGGACCCTCATTATTAGCATGGTACTTCCCAGAGCGTTGTCAACTACTTCTATGTATACCAAATCTCCAATCTGTCCTGCACAATATTCGTATTGGCTCAAGTTCCCCATGGGAATGAAAACAATATCCAATACAGTGGTCCCTCTATAATCCGGCACCATTTGTGCCACGAAAATCTGCTGGATTAGGGAGGGTGCTGGATTAACAAATCTGATTTACTGCTGCAATGTGCATGAAGAGGACATTTTGGCTACTGAAAATTGTGCTGGTTTATCGAGGGTGCTGGATTATAAAGTGCCGGATTAGAGAGGGACGACTGTATTAGACAGTTCAAAGACCATGCTACATGCCATGTCAAGTTGTAAGCTCGCTCGCTTCGTTTGCTGCCTTGTCTCGCCACTATGCACCATGGTCGCCACAGCGATCAATTTCAACCCTGTTGATGTGTTATTCTCTTCCAATATGTTCATTATTCATTCGTTTGAGGGAAAGTTGCATATTTCTTCTTTCTTCTTTCGAAGTTTTAGGGGGGGGGGGGGTGTGCACGTGCCCCCTATGCCCCGTGCGGGCTATGCGCCTGCGCTCCCTTCCAATATATTGGCTATTGCCGTTGAACCATGAATGCAGTAAAAACTCACCGACAACGTTGAGCTGGTAGGTGGTGGCGGAGACTCTCTCGTCGTCGGTGATGCACCGGTACAGGCCCGTGTGCCCCGGCGTCAGCGTGTCGGCCGTGTCGCCTCGGCCCGACGCACCAGCGGCAGCTGTGCGTTGGTGCACGTGCTGGGCATGTGCGTGCCGTCTCCGCCGTCTTCCCGCCGCAGTCGCCGCCGTCCCCCCAGGCGTGGCGGTGGCGGCGGTGGCGGAACGAACATGCTCGACTGAGTCGAACGGGTCGTCGCCGGGATTGTACTCCATGAGCACCGAGCTGGTGTTGAGATTCACCAGGCGAATTTTCGTGGCGACTTGCCTGTCGTGAAACTCCGTGACCTCCGAGGCGCATGCCGGGAGGTAGTGGCCGATCTTGGTGACGTTTTGGCCGTTCAGGAAGTACGCAGGTAGTGTCATGTCCTGCCAGTACACCAGGTCAAACGACTGGCACCCTGTACACAGCGACACACATCAAGCGGATTATATGAGAGATATGAGAACAAGCTACAGCGATAGGTTAGCGGCCTATAGAATTTTATTGCAAGTGGCTGCGGCTTGCTCAGGGTATTGGGAGCGTGCGCTGATAGTGCTTTTGATCAATTGCACTGTGCAATGTGTGAGACACGGATACCATGGTAACGGATGGCTTGAAAGAGAGGGGGAGAGGGGAGAGAGAGAGTGAGTGTGTGTGTGTGTGTGTGTGTGTGAGAGAAATGGAGAGAGAGAGAGACATAGAGAGAGAGAGAGAGAGAGAGAGAGAGAGAGAGAGAGAGAGAGAGAGAGAGAGAGAGAGAGAGAGAGAGAGAGAGAGAGAGAGAGAGAGAGAGAGAGAGAGAGAGAGAGAGAGAGAGAGAGAGAGAGAGAGAGAGAGAGAGAAAGAGAGAAGGGAGGGAGAGAAATAAATAGAGATTGGACTAGAGGGGACCTTTCAATCAGCGTCTCGCAGCATGGTGCAAAATACAAATCACCCACATTGGGAGATCAGTCGTCTCCAGTATACCAAACCACCAACTAGCATTCATTGCGACCTGTGTGAAAAGACCGCCTCTCTATAGGGGCCGCTATTGTGCGCAGCATGCAGTGGTTGTTAAATGTATGTTGTTGCGTAGTAAACTGTACAAGGCGCATCACACTTCTCCCTTGTGCTGCATGCCGGAGAATATCTCTCATTGAGCCAGTTTCCACTCACCATGGAGTCCAGCCGTTAATACAATGGCTAGTTTTAGAATGCCGGCACCTAGCAAAGATGACAACACGCATGCGCACACATACACACATGCACATACATGTACATAATATTACGCGCACACACGTACACACACACACACACACACACACGTACACACACACACACACACACACACACATGCCCACACACACACCCACATGTGTGTATGCGCCCGTCGCAAGAGAAGCACGCAAATCTGCAAAACTGGTCCGGGGCGCCAGCTGTGCACTTTGGGTCGGATTTCAGTGAGCGCAACTGTACACATGTACGTATGTACAATCATGTAGACAGACATCAGTCTAAATAATATTATTATATTGACCACTGCTGGAGATGACGTCATTATGATGTACTGTAAAAACCATAGTTCTAACGAGGCGCATATATAACGATTGCCTAAAGTTGACCAGTTTACGTGTACCAAAGGTAACGATTCTCACCCATTCTCAACGCTCAATAGGACAGTATATGTATCGATTTCTGTATAACGATTTCTATTTTAACGACAGATTTCTCCTCGTTAACTCGTTGGATTTAGCACTTCGGTATACATAGGGCTTTTACAGTAGTAGTCCTGCTCGCGCACGCACGTCACGCTCGCTTGACTTCCTGCGTCTTGCTCCGTTACCAATCGAGTGTGAGTAGGTGCTTTAAAGCTGTGTGTAAACTTGAAGCAGGTGTGAGTTCTTGCTCTACATGTGCGAGTAGTGGATACCCAACCGGGAGATTCCAGTCCAGTCACTATCGGCGGATGTCGTCAGGCCAGCTACATGTACGTGTAGAATGGATAGATATTTCAGTTATCGCTATGTTTTCAAAACGAAACTCTCCTGGTTCCCAAAACACTGGTGATGGTTGGGAGTGCGGCCTGGAGCCATGGTAAATCACAGGAGATCAGGTTGACGTCGTCAGCGTAGCCAGTCTCCTGGGGTAGCAACTCATCCTGTGAGGGGCGGTTAGGCAGGCGCCTACGGCACTCCTGCATGGCAGCCTCAAGATAGCACACAAAGAGGATTGGGATTAGGCCGTCTCCTTGTGGGGTACCAATGTTACTCTCAAACGGCTCGGATCTGAGTTTTCCTAAACCGACTTGGATGGTGGTGTTGTACAGAAGGTGATGGATGAGATAAACCTCGTCAGGGCCCGTGATGTTCTGCATTACACGGAGGAGTTAGACCTATCGATCGTGTCGAATGCCTTGGACATGTCAATGCCCAAGACATGACATTCCCAGTTATACCGCATGGCTTTGCCAGCCAGCCACCTGAGTGCCCATACCACATCAGCGGTGCTGCGTCCTGCTCTGAATCCCGACTGGGTTGCGTCAAGGAATTTAGAGACCTGAACAGAAATACGGCTCAGCACTGCAAGCGATATGAGCTTGCGGATGGTGTTCAGCAGTGTGATGGGCCTCAGGTTGGCGCATGGACCTTTGGTCTTATTCGGCTTCTTCAAAACGAAACTCTCCTTGACCCACCCATCCATTAACGAAAGTTTTTAGTTTCGCGTAAAGTATGGATAATTCTGTACGACCCCCCCCCCCCCCCCCCATACACACACACCTACACGTAGCTAAGACTTACATGTTGGAGACATCCTGGCCCGGTTAGCCCTCAAGCGGAGTGATCAGCGATATCACTCAAGACCTGGACACACAGCAACGTACACATAGCCGACACACGCAATTACACCAGGAGGGCACGATGATGTCATGACAGGGTATGCAATGATGTCATTGCTGCTGCTGCTGCTGTGGCGGCAACACAGTTCTGAATTACATCATGGCTGCAGCGGAGGAATGGCGCCAAGTGTCATTTTGACTACAGCTGAGGTACAGACGGACAGCCAGGCTGGCAGCACGGGTGCTGTATGCTTGAATCTCAAATGTAAGTACCTTACCACGTGTGTGTGTGTGTGTGTGTGTGTGTGTGTGTGTGTGTTTACCACCGTTTCTCTACTAACATATCAGGGTTCTAGCCAAAGGGATGAGGGATTGGGCACAGCCCCCCCCCCCCCCCCCCCACACCCACCCCCAACACCCACCCATCACCACATGTGTATGAAAAAGAGTAAAGTTAGCCAGATTCGCGGCCGCATCACTGGACGTGTTGAGGAACACATCAAGCAAAGATGTTCGCATCGGCGCGCCACCACTTCGCACATATACCCTAGTGTCGCACATCTTTACTTATAAAAGAGAGGCACCTGTGACGTGTGTCTGTGTGTTACGCTCAGGCCATCCTGCGGAGCAGCGCTGCCCTGAGCACGCGAAGCGTGCGAACAGTGTAGCTAGCGGCCGCAGAAGCACTGAGCACGCGAAGCGTGCGAATCGTGTAGCTAGCGGAAGCAGCCACAGAAGCACTGAGCACGCGAAGCGTGCGAATCGTGTAGCCACCACCACGTGCTGAGCACGTGTGCTGTTCATGCCACGTTCTAGCCTAGGCCATAGGTAGCACTAGCAGGCGGAGCGTGCGAACAGTGTAGCTGGCGGCCGCAGAAGCACTGTGTGTGTGTGTGTAGGTAGCACTAGCAGCCGCGCGTGCGAATAGTGTAGCCTATGCCTATGGCCTAGATTGACACACTGAGTCTGTGTTCGACTACTATCTTTCTTTACTTATAAAAGAGAGGCACCTGTGACGTGTGTCTGTGTGTTACGCTCAGGCCATCCTGCGGAGCAGCGCTGCCCTGAGCACGCGAAGCGTGCGAACAGTGTAGCTAGCGGCCGCAGAAGCACTGAGCACGCGAAGCGTGCGAATCGTGTAGCTAGCGGAAGCAGCCACAGAAGCACTGAGCACGCGAAGCGTGCGAACCGTGTAGCCACCACCACGTGCTGAGCACGTGTGCTGTTCATGCCACGTTCTAGCCTAGGCCATAGGTAGCACTAGCAGGCGGAGCGTGTGAACAGTGTAGCTGGCGGCCGCAGAAGCACTGTGTGTGTGTGTAGGTAGCACTAGCAGCCGCGCGTGCGAATCGTGTAGCCTATGCCTATGGCCTAGATTGACACACTGAGTCTGTGTTCGACTACTATTAGTACTAAAGAACGTGCTGAGCACGTGTGCTGTTCATGTACTTGCTTCACCCGCATGCCACGTTCGGCCAGGCAACGCTGGCCGGGTGCTGCTAGTATTTTATAAATACGCTTGCCGTATTTTCTCTAATAATAGCCCGGGGTTCTTCAGTATGATTTCAGTAACAGCTTTACCTGCGCTACTATCAGGTACTGTGCTATTATTGGAGATTGTGCTTTTATTTTTTCAATGCTCCACTATCAAGTCAACTCCAGTTTAAATGAGGCATAAACTGACCATATCAAGACTGATTTTCTCAACCCTAAACTCAGGAATATTGTCATAACTGATGTTTCACAATAACATGGGTACCAGTAAGGAAGCAGTAGACCGTTTTTTTCATTTTTTTTCAAAAGCATTACTGGCCTCAGAGATTGTTCATTGAATGATCATAAAGGTCACACTTCAATGACTTTTCCACGACTAAAATTTGTAATCATTGGCCTGACTGGAAAGGCTGCCCGAGAGGAAACTTATAGGGATGCAATGAATACTCAGCTAAGAATTTCATTAAAGAAGTGAGGGCAATCCCACTGCAATCAGCAGTGACTGCGCACTGGCACAGGAGAGCAGCGATATCTAAGAGGAAGGATGGCTTTGCAACAATTCTCAAAAGCCCACCTCCGTCCGCTATGTGGGGGAAAAAGTAGATTATCCGCTCGTTTACCTCCTTACAGATATGTGCTTGGCACGCTGTACTCCTGTTTAGTATGCAGTCAACATACTTGTTGTTTTTGAAATCTTTTATTCTCACGATGGCCTGTGGCCAATAAGAGAGTTGTTGTTGTTGTTGTTGTTGTTGTGCTTCTATTTATAGTCGTTCAACCAAACAGGCAATGGTGCCTTCTCACAAGGAGGCGACTTAGAAGAGGAGAGGGCAGACAGCGAGTGGGGAGGGGAGAAAAAACAGGCACAGAAAGGAGATAGAATGGAGAGGATAATGTAGTATAGATTAAGAAATTGCTGTATACTCCCTGAATGGTGGCTTGCGCTAATACTAGATACTGTGTGCTCTTAGTATTTCAAACAGCCCTCACCCCCGGGTCATTATTGGAGACCTGGGCTATTATTAGTGAGAATACGGTACCCTGGTCATGCGGTGAACGAATCACAATTCGAACTTGCACAGCACTGTTAAACAAGTACAAGGAAACACGTGGGATGTGTCCACACCCCTTACAACGTCGGACATCACCAGGGCAAGCAAGGAGCTTTTCATTATAAAAATGACATCGACTTGAAATTCTGCCGGGACAGCAGGGTATGCAGGAGTTGCCCGCTACTCTGGTCTATAGTAATGACTGCACTTGATTACAGCTGTACGTCACTTCTTTTCTCTTTTTCTTTTTTAAATGTTTTACTGCCAGAAGTCGTCTTTATAAGGATGCAGAAATGCCTGTTTGTTGTACGACTTTAAATAAATCCAACCAACCAACCACTTCTTCTTCTTCAGGCTCCAAGCCTTGGATCACAGGCTTCACAGCAGTGCCAGTGGCTGGTTTTAAACACGATGTCATGCCCATTGCGCACTGCCAACTATGGAAGGTATGAGTAATGCATGTGAGTACACTGGGATCAGCAATGCACTGTTCAACGCCCCAGACGACCATGCCAAGGTCACGGTGGCTCTGTCGGGTGTTCGTGGTACAAATTATGTCATTGCGCAATGGACTTATTGCTAGACAGTGTGCATAGCAGTGGTGCGTGGACACAATCAAGCACGCCCAGCGGGCGTGCCACTCTAGTATTCCAGGAGCATATTGAACAGACAATAAGCAAGTTTAGACAGCGCTGCGTTCTTCTGTGCCATATGGCTGACCGTTTAACAGGAGACATCGTCAGGAAGCTGTACCTTACGTATGTCCGCCCCACAGCAGAATACGCCGCCCCAGTATGGGAGTCCTCCCTCTCTGCTGCACAGCGGCTCACCCTTGAACGACTGCAAGCCAGAGTAGCTCGCACAGTCATGCGGCTTGAGAGATGCCCTTGCCCATCAGACGAGCCAAAGTCATCATTGTTTAAACAGCTGGGGTGGCCAAGTCTATCCTGGCGCAGGAAGATCGCCTGCCTTATGGAATTCTTCCATTTGGTCACCACCCAACCAGAACTTTTTGAAGCAGCGGGATACTGCCCCACGCGTAGTCGCCGCCGCCAACTAGCATTCACTCTGCCACGGGTTGGGAAACACGCCGGGAGGTCATTTCTCTTCCGCACCGCTACTGTCTGGAATGCCTTGCCCGCAGACCTGAGAGCCACAGCCTTGCAGTCCCTGTTTCACAGTCACATTTGCACGCACTTCTCTGACACCAAACACAATGCCACTCCTCACTGACATGCCTCTGTCCTCCTTCTTTGAGCGTTGCGCTTATTCTTATTAATTTTTGTGTTTCTGTTTCGGTACATTTCGTATTTCAAGGCATATCCCGAGGCTATAGGTATCATTGAGTAAAGGACCATTCTGGAACATTCAGCATAATTGTATTTCTCTTGCTAGGCTGTTCATTACGAATCATTAGCCCTCCACTGTCTGCTATCTCAACCCTACAGCCTCCCATTATCATGGAACTCCCTTCAATTTAGACTACGTCTTTGGGAAATCCTCAAATATATAATATTATATAATAATAATATTGGTCTAGCCCTGTTTCGGTTTTCCACTTCAAATACAGACCACGGCCAAAACCGTCCTCTGCTTCTAAAAACCAGCATTCGAGCGAACCAGCTAGAAGTAGAATAGTGAGCACGCGGTACCACATAGGAACCACTGACACTGTCCGTGGACTGGTGCAATGCAGCCGGTGGCAGCAACGGACTTAGCCGGACGTGTGGGAATCCAAATCAGCCATTATGACATGCTGGCCATGCAAAGTCAGGAACAAAGGGCGAGTGCGAGGGCGTCGACAGTAACATTGACCCTGCTTTTACGGGGACTTCGCAAGTGAAAGCACATCACCCGAAACGAGCACAGAGTTTTCAAATGCCTTACCTCGATTCACAGTCCACGGTTCGTCTCTCGCTCTCCACCTCCACGCTGCAAAGCAGCACACGACTACTACGCTACTACTTATAATACACACGGAAAATTATTGGTTACTCAGGCCCCGCGTTTCTTGCAAGCGGAAATGTCCTCCGTCGAAAATCGGGACGAAGCAAACATTGATTCTCTCGTCCACTACCTTGACTTTGTTGGTTTGGACAGTGCGCGTACACGTGCATGGCTCTTCTTCGTACTGTTTTCTTCCAAGAAAGTGACAGAGCTTCATATGGCAGCCAAGCAACCCCAAACGGCACTTTCGGTGTCGAAATCGGATCAATCGTTTACCACATAATACTATCGAAGACCACTTTGGCAGTTTTGCCATAGGCTCGTACGAACAAAACCCCGATGCGGACACCAACTGAAATAGGGTACTGCACAAATCAAAGGTCTTCTGCAAGGGGACGGATACTGGATACTGGAGCGCTGGTTCTCGATTTATATTCGGTAGTTTTTTCTCGCAAGGCGCTCCCGAAACCGCGCTCGTCGATACGCCGTGCATGCAGGGTATCCGCCAATGCTGCCGGGTCAAGGCGACGGACTCGCTTTTGGCTCCGTGTTGGCAGTGTAGACTACCACCATGGTGTAGGTCTACAAGTACAACTACTACTGGTAGATACATTGTATTTTCGATTTTGACAGCATGTTACAAGGCGAGGACGCGTAGTGCTCCTGACTACAACCATACCCGGTTGGCAGAGTCCCGGTTGTAGTCAGGCGCTGTGGATTGTAGATCTACCTAAAAAAATTAATAAAAGTCCTTACTACTATACTAGGCTTTACAAAAAAATTGTAGTGGCTTTACCTGAACTTCAGCTGAAGAGTAGTACTCGAGTGAAGGATCAGGCGCTAGGCTAGAATGTACTCTTGCTAGAACTAGGGTACAGTTGAACATCGATTATCCGCACATCGACTATCCGACCATTCGATTATCCGTAACAGTTTTTTGGGCGCACTGCCGTAGAGTACGCACTGTGCATGTGGTGAGCCATTCAAAAAATGAAAAGTAAAAAGGTCGTGCGGCTAGTATAACCACTGAAAGTGTGCGAGTGACAGTTTTTTTCTTATCCAGAACATTTGCCTTATCTGAACACCGCCTGACAGTTGTCTGCCCAGAGGTGGTCGGATAATCGATGTTCAACTGTACCTGCAAAAGGTGATAGCAAGAGTCCATAAACAAGAGTATGCAACTGTGATCTCTTTTCTATGGGCCAGATGCGCGGCGCGCTGCCTTCATTACATCATTCAGCTGCAGTCCGCGCACTGCGGAAAATCAAACACCGCGCTTTCCCTCTGGTTTGAAATGAACTTTCGTACGGAACTGGAGTTCACGCGCCATAACTCAGAGATCGCGTAGGTACTGGAACGAATCGAGCAAAAACGGATGGGCTCGTACGAGAAATTGTGAGTTTGAATGCACGCTTTCAGAGCATGATGAAGGCAAGTAAGTTACGTAATGAAGGCAGTGTGCCGCGCGCGCACTGGGCCATAACCACAGTTGCATACTCTTGTTTATGCACTCTTGGTGATAGGGTAGTTGACGGTATGGCAGTGTTAAGCAGGGTATGCAGGCACTTAGTCTTTGGGAAAGGAAGCAACCTGTGAGGAGATTGCTTCTTTATTTTATTTTATTTTATTTCACCGTCCAATGGCAGAAGCCAATGCAAAGGAGGGGGCATTAGCCAGCCATGGCAAGAGAAGAAAAAGAAAGAAAGAAGGAAAGAATATGATAATCGGAAGAAAAGAATGCATCAGCGGGGTGAAATTTATCACTATATTGACCATGGTGGAGAGCGGCGAGATAAGCTAGCAAAAGAGGCGAGCGAGCCTTCAACGACTATTATGTTACGTGGTGTGACATTTAACATGGTCTATGAATTCTTCTGCGCTCTTCCACAATTATGTAGTTCTTCTCAGCGCGTAGGAGTGTACTGAACAGTCTGAAGCGAGAAAAATCAAAACTTCATCCAGAGCTGTAAAAATGTTGCTGCAAAATCATCGATATTTTGCTGAGCTTGGCACCAAGACTCCATAATGGACTCTTGTTGGCACTAGAAACATATATTCTGCCCCACTTTGTTCCAGAAAACGGGTGTTTTACCCACTTTCCGTTCAAAGTTTCATAAAAAATATCCTGGTGGGTTTCTCAACACTGGTGTTCACACACATGTGTTCGGGTTCTTCCAAAATCATGATAATGATCCACAGACCACAGTGAATCCCAGTGTTATTTTCAGTGAAATGGTCTTTATTATTTATTATTTATTATTCTTTATTTCCACGATGGCCCATGGCCAATAAGGAAGATAATATGATTCAAATCAGTCTTGTCCTGTGCGATCAAGACTCAAGAGTACAAAAATCGCTAAGCTTTTCGCCGATTTTGGAAGGTTCCTTTGAGAATCGCGGAAAATCTACCAAATGTTGCAAAGTGCGTTCAGGAACGAATGATGTTGCTGCAAGCATGACCGCTCGAGCTCTATTTGCGAATGCTTTCGCTACCTACATCCGACCCGTTCTCGAATATGGCAGTCTTGCCCTCTCCAACACCACACAGCAACAGCGGGACACACTGGAGAGAATTCAACGCCGTGCTATACGCATCTGCCTTCGGATTCCCCTCTTTGCACCAGTTCACCACAGTTCCCTCCTCCATCACGCAAAGCCTCCCACCCTTAGCTCACGACTCTTTGTTAAACAAGTCCTACTAGCATGGGACATTCACCACCAAACCTCCCCACCACACCTGCAACAACCACACCTTGCACCACAACGTCAGCACCAACAATAATACCCTTCGACAGACAAGGACCTACTCCATCGGACACGCACACACAAACATGCACCGAGATTCCCCCATCAACAGTGCCCTCACCCTCTACAACTCACTCCCTATCGACATCACAACCCAACCTCGTAGAAATTCTTTCCGAAACAATGCATCCAGTCTTCTTTTGAGCAGTACCTGTTCCTGCTCCGCGCATCCCCCTGGTTTCTGATATCTCGAACGTGTACTTAACTACATCTCGATCACCCCTGCTAACGTTTTTGCCCCCGCTTGTTTTTCATGATACATTGCTTCTTGCCTCCCCGGTTAATTTCCATCTAGCTGTTTCTGGCTATTATCAGTTCTATCACACTTATCAATCGTCCTTATTGGCGTCACGCCATCGTGGAATAAAAAGAATAATATTAATAATACTAGTACTTCAAAGTGTGGCTTGTGGTCAGTGAATACGCGTGAAAACCACGACCCTCAAGCTGGTGCCGGAAATGCTTGATGGCCAAATATATAGCTAACAATTCCCGGCCGAACGTACTGAAGCGGATCTCCGCTGGCTTCAGGACTTTGGAAAAGTAGGCCAGGGGCTGTGGATCGCTGCCCACGCTTTGGTGTAATACAGCACCAACGGCATGATCGGAGGCATCCACCATGAGGCTGAGCTCTGCGTCCGGCAGTGGATGGTGGAGCTGAGTGGTGGCAGCCAAAGCAGACTTGGCCTCGGCAAATGCATGCATAGCGTTGGCATCGAACACCACAAGAGACAACTTGCCCTTCGGACGCCTTGGAGGAGAGTGGTCAAAGGTAACAGCAGGGTAGCGCACTGAGGAATAAACCGGCGGTAGAAGTTTACCATTCCCAAGAAACGCTTGAGCTGTGCCATGGTTTGAGGGACCTTGAATGCAGCGATATCGCGGACTTTCTCTGGCCGAGGGTGGAGGCCGTCAGAGTCGATGATGTGGCCGAGGAACTCAAGACGAGAAACACCGAAAACGCACTTGTCGACATTGACAACCAAACCGTGAGCGGCGAGGCGCTGAAGCACTTGCTCAACGTGCTGCTGATGTTCTTCATCAGTCTCACTAGCCACCAAACCATCGTCAATGTAGGCAAAGGCAAATGGGAGTCAACGGAGAGCTTCATCGATGAGGCGCTGGAACGTCTGGGTAGCGTTTCGAAGGCCAAAAGGCATCCGAAGAAACTCAAATGACCCGAATGGCGTCGTGATGGCCGTTTTCGGGATGTCGTCTGGACCAGGAGCAACGGGAATCTGGTAATAGGCTTTCTTCAGATCAATCTTGGAGAATATGGTCTTGCCATGCAGAGATGCTGCAAAGTCATGCAGGTGTGGCACCGGGTAGCGATCAGGGATAGTTGCAGCATTCAGAGCTCGATAGTCCCCGCAGGGCCGCCAGTCACCAGAACTCTTGGGCACCATGTGCAGAGCCGAAGACCATGGGCTAGATGAGGGCCGGATAATGCCGAGTTGCAACATATGTTCGAACTCTTGCTTAGCGACTGTGAGACGGTCAGGCGCTAACCGACGAACCTTAGCATGTACCGGGGGACCACGGGTCACAATGTGATGGACCACAGAGTGACGGGCCGGTAGCTCAGCATTGCAAGGGCCGACAACTGACGGATAGCGGGCAAGCAGTGTAGCATAAGGACAAGCGGTAAGGGTGGGCAGCAGAGAAAGCGGTGCAAGAGACGAGATGCTAGATCGGGAGAGAATGGTGTTGAGGGAGGTGGTGCCATCATACAAACACTCGGCCGACACATTGACGGACAACCCAAAGCGTTTGAGGAAGTCGATACCGATGATTGGCACCGAGACACTGGCAATGATGAACACCCATTGGAAACGGCGGCGCAAACCAAGGTCGAGAGTGACAGAGCGCTCACCGTAAGTCCGGATGGATGTCTGGTTTGCAGCCTGGAGAGGCGGGCCCAGTGGGCGCTGCAGGTCCTCAGCAGAGGGCGGAATACAACTCACGGAAGCGCCAGTGTCAATCAGAAAACGCTGTCCCGAGAGTAGGCCTGGGCGGATAATGCTAGCATTATAAGTAGCATTATAGTGTGCGTTTTGCAACGAGCATTATGCTAGCATTATAACACTACATTTCCACAAAAGTGGCATTATACTCAAATGGCCCTTTCTTCTGCGAAAACCAAGCTTAGGGTGAAAATCATTATTTACAAAACATCATTTTTCTCAAAATGATGTTTTGTAAAAAGGTTGTGTCGCGTGGACGCTCGAGTGCATACAGTGCAGTGAACATGGTGAAGTGGAACCAAAGAGAATCTCGCTTGTTTGAAGAAGGAGCAGTCATGGCAGGAAGGGTTTCAGCAGTCAGGGAAGTCAAAGGGCTTCCGGTAGAATATTCCCTGCTACTGCTAGTACTCCTCTAGTCACAGCGAAGAGTTTTTGAGCTGATCGAACGGATTCCATCTCCTACACTCAGGGATGGCGAAATTTCTGCGCTAGCTGCTGCTTGCGGAAACTATGATGGTGAAGAAATCGTCTCCAGTTAGAGTCGTGATGGCGATAGCAAGGAGAACCTGGACGACACTGAGTCGATCCAGCCAATCGAAGTACGGAGATACTAGCTGTTTCTGGGCCTCACACAAAGGGAACACGCGCAGCAGAGCTCATACGTTTGCAGCAAGTTCACCAGGAAAAAGGCTTGTTTTGAATTGAAGTCCTTGGCGATGA